GGTAGTCACCGCTGGGACATTTACAAATGTTCCCTGCCAAAATATATTCGTGTTTCTGGGGAATTTTAGGGTATGTTTACAAATGTTCGGGTGCGGGATGGGGCTGGGATGGTTAGGGTGGGTGGGGGGTGGGTAGGGGATGGGTAGGGGGTAGGGGGTAAACAGGGGGTGTGCAAGTAGGTGGTCTGCAGGCTGTAAATGGGCAAAAATAGGGCTATAAACGGGTTCTGTGAGCAGGGTGAATTTAACGGTGAACCAGGGGAGAACGGTAGACAATAAAATAGCGGGAAGATGGTAGAATAATAGTACATATATGCCTGTACGCCCTCGGGGTACTAGCCTGGGTATCAATAGGGGAAACGGGGTGATCTGGGGGTATTTTAGTAACTTTGTGAGTTTTGTGAATTAGGACGAACGGATTGCATTGCCGGGTGTCATTTTGATGGAATTGACGTATAAAACGTGAATTGTTACCCGATTTGGACAACATGAAGAAGGCTAATTTCGGGGGTTATTACTATTTGACAAACATTGATAAATGTATAAGATGCTCAAAATCAATGTTTGAAGGAATCGGTCCATTTGTTCCGAAGTTATAGCGTAAACGGTCAGCAAGATATTGCCCTAGCACGGTGGGAGGGGGTGGGCAGGCCAGAACTGGGGATATAGCAGTCCGATTGTCTTTGTTTTTGTTGTCATGGGTAGCCCTATATCAATCCTAAGTAATGGGGAGCACACCGGACATAAAAACAATGATTGTGGCCTTTGTAGTGGTGCCGCATATAGGGGAGGAGGAGGAGAACATCTATCCTGGGGGTATTTCCATGGTTAGAATGTCTTGTGGTGTTGAAGTGATGGTTGGACAATATAGTTTGATGTTTGGGAAGTCGATCTATGGTGTAACATTAGTCAAAATTGTCCTGCACTAATTGTGGGGCGCTGAGGGGGTGAAACAGCGTATTGGGCCACAGTATAATCACTGAAACACCAATTTACGCGTTTTTGGCACCATTCTTGTTGTGTTAATTTAGTTTAAATGTATATAAACACTATGAAAGCACCAGAACCACCACTGGTGGATAGTGGAAAAAGGAAAACCATGTTTTTGATGGGGGAGCAGGTGCACATATAGTATTCAGGGCGTATATGGACCAGATCTCTCTCAAATGAAGTGTGATCGTGATGTGGTGTGGTACAGGGCTCTAATACATCATACAAAATGTTTCTGGGTGATCCACTATGTCATACCTGATCTGTGTGATACAGTAAAGATGCCAAACATCAGTTTTTGGCTGTAAATGGCCAATTCTGCCGTGTATTTGAATTTCTGAATATAATTGAGGGATTTGTAGACCAATCCCCGTTATGGCTAATCTCTATACATCAAAAGGTAGACGTCAAAAAAACTCTGAAGTGATCAGTCAGCCTATACCTCTCAAAGTGCATATGGTGCTCATTTGGAGTTTTCAAGTAGTATTACACTAGTCAAATGTCAGTTACAGCATATTGAGCG